GAAGATCGACTTCGATCAGGTGCTCACACCATCCCAACAGCCTCTTGCAACTTTGCATTGGGAATATCTCCCCATGAAATAAAGCACATGAGTAGAGATATATTCCTAATGCAAGGCTGTAAAGGCTGCTCAAAGTGGCGTTGCCCTGATTGATGCTGAACTCTTTCCTACGGTGCTAGATCTCTAATTTCTTTTGATCTTCAACCTGGGATCTTTTACTATTTTCTTGCAAGTTGTCTGCTCCACGCTAAAGTAAAAGTTTTCCTCTGTACGTGTCATCCAAACATGGTGGATCTGATGACAATCAAAAGTCCTTGGAACGAGTCCAGATCTCTTGCCAATAAAAGACATTCCAACACTTGTGATCTTACACTGAATATCTCACACATGGTGGCTCCCAATCTTGGTGAAATGTGTGGTGTCAGATCATATTGGTAGGGTGTTGGAACTTTGTAACTTGTTTTGTTGGCAGAAGATCCTAAGTGCTTTGGAAGGGCTCGGATTCAACTTGGAAGGATGCAGAGGTACCTGCAAGAGAGAGGACAGCCAGAGGCCTGGGGTGATACCTCAGGACTCTGATGAACAACTCAGTAAGGGCCAAGTTGTCCGAGGTATATTAGGCAATAGTAAATGAAACTAAAAGTGTGTAATGATATGAAACCTACCACTCGGAATTTCCTACTCACTTTTCCTACCCATTTTCTATTCGTCGTGAATTGGAGCCGCACATCTCTATTGTGAATTAAGAGATGTGTGACTCCAATTCATGGCGGATAGGGTGTGGGTAGGAAAGGTTTGTAGGAAATCTTGGCTCGAAATCTAGTTTCATAAAGGTTGGGGATGTTCGTGCCAATCTACACGTGGTGATAACGAGTAGGACACTTGGAAGCAAGGTGGGACATGCTCAGGTTACTTGTATGCCACATTTAACTGTGTGTTGAAGAAGCCTGGGCCCACTAGATGGGTAGGTGAGACAAATGCATCACCAGGTGGTTGTCCCTGTGTATATGTGGTGAGCTCGGGTGTATTTTTTTGGTGCAGCTCGTCTTGACAAGATGTGCTTCCTTATTAATGCAGAGATAAGTGTATTTCTTCATTGAGCTTGGAAGGAGTACAAATACAAATATGTAGAGTGCAAAATCATATATTTTGTATTATTTTGTATGTATTTACGTTGTATATATTTGCATTTGTACTCTTTCCAATCTCAGCAACGTTACTGTTGATAGAGTAACTCAGGTAGGATGAGTGTTGGACTCAGTCCAGATCAGGTAGATACATTGATTTCAGCACGTTCAATGAGTACTTAGAAAATTTTTTGACACCTGTCCCTAAAATTACCTCCAACCTATCCTTGAAAAAGATTAAAAACTGTTTTTGACAGTTGTTATAATTTTTTTCAAATGCTCATTGAACATACTTACTATATTGTGCCTACTAGATCCGGTCCCAGTTGGACCGTCCAAAATGAGCACTGGTTATCTGAAGTTGCCACGTGTCTTGATCTCACTGACCGGGGTCACTTCCACTCCATCAGGATCCAAAAGGAAAAGGTAAAATGGTGGAGTAACAAGACAACCAACTCAGATGTTGTTGATACAGATATAGCTATTGTGAATGGTGGCCATCTTGAAATAGAAATGCAAAAGCGTGAAGAAGCAGAAAAGTTGGAAGCCTTCCTAGGTTTGCAGGTACAAAGCTCAAGCCCTCCCAAAAACATGCAAAGATGATTAGGAATTTACGATGCAGTTCATATTAATTTTACTTATAGTGCGCGGTTGAAAATTTATTTGGAAGACTTAATGGAGAGGGAAGTGCTTTGAAAATATGACTAGGTAAACTTTTAAGTCCAATAGTTCAGCTTGTGGAGAAAGCTTAGTGTTTTTGCTTGATGTCCCTGCTTAAATCGATTTTCGATTTTCTGTTAAACTGTCAGCTCCTCAACAAGTGCCTCCATCAGATTTCCTATTATATATTGATATTTTTATCATCCTTACAAATTGACACTCCACGACTGTGTAAGCAGAAGCAGAAGAATTGAAGCTTCAGGAAGATTGCAAACAGAATGGTGGGTCATGAAGCACAAAATATGCCCACTAATAGATAAAGCACAAAATCTATTCACTCCCTCATGTCTAGTGAGGCGGTTCGGACAGGGTTCAATCTATGGTAAGCTGAGTTATTGTGTCGAGCTGTGAAGCCGAGCTGAGAGTTGCTGAAATGAAAGAGATATTAGAGTGCTTGGGTAAATTTTACCTAGAAAGACACTTCGATGCTAAAGTTAGTGAGTAGTTCTCCTAGAGAAATTGAGAGAGAGTGAGAGCTTATTTGCACATACCTTTTCAGAGTGTCTCGGGGTTCCTTTTATAGTTATTAGGTGTCCAGGTGTCATTGATCAACGTCTTTGAGTTTTCTGCAGAGCTGTTTCCATAGTTTGAGGGAGTGCTGGGCCGTTGGTTGCTAAATTTGTGCGGTAGTGACAGGTTGCCTGTGGGTCTCGTGGCGTGTGGTTCGGTAAGCTGTCCCAATAGTTTCAGTAATGGTACTAAATTGGATATGGCACGCGAGACGGTTTCGGGCGAGCTGTCATTGTCGGTGGGCCGAGCTCGCTTCAGCTCAGCCATGCACCTGTTATAAACTACCACATGTTGAGCTGGTGAGCTGTCTTGCTGAGTTGGACGCTGTGTTGCTAACAGCGTCCACGTGTCCTCCATCAAGTGGGTTGACCAAAATGCCCCTTATCAGTGGGCTCTGATCGATGGCTTACAAAAAGCTGTCAACCTTGGTATAAAATCCTTCTTGTCTACACTAACTCAACAAGAAATGTGAATAGTACATATAATGATGATGAAGGAGATTGGATGTGAGGTAGGGATACTTGGTGGACCTTAGATCGCACCATGTGGCACTAGCCATATCAAATTCTGGCCGCACACCACCAATTGCTTCCAACCACACCTAAGGCAAGGTTATCTATAAAGGGGGCACTCACCTCAAGGTAAGAGAGGAAAGGAGAACCATTCTTGGCTGTCAAGGACTAAGCTATGAGCTCTCATCTCTTGCTTGGTCTGACCCCTTTTTAAGCACTCGACTAACTTGGACCATCGGAGTCTCCGCCCCTGGGGTAACACCCAGGGCCTCTGATGTGTGCTCTTCTCCTGTTTACAGATTGGACCTATTGGCCTCAGACACTAGCAAAATCGCCTTGTTGCCCTTGTTCTTATATTTGGTAGCGACAATTGAAACCGTATGTGGGAACATTTTCAAAACTTCCCTCTAAAAACAACAAAACTTAATCCATCAAGTTTCCGATATAGATGATAAGTAAGACAACACTCCTAACGCTTAGAACCTAGTCACAATGAACCAATTCAAGATGGTCCTAGACAGGTTGGACAACCTAGCCGAGTGGTTGGATGAGGTAGGGCGTTCGACAGGAGGCCGCCCCATTGGGAGCCAGGGGAAACACAATGAACGATCCACCCATGAACCACCGAGCCAACGCCTGATTGGCCAGGGGAATGCCGACAGGCTAGTAAGTCCCCGTAAAAGACCTCTTGTCTCCCCAACCAGAGAGGCAAACCTGTGGGGTCCCTCACGACTTATCAGCAAAGAGTTGCTAGATATTACAACTCCTGGGTCAGAGAGTGCCACTTCAAGGAAGGTGATTTCGTCCTTAGGAAGGTTATGGTTCCTAAGCCCAATGTTGGAAAGCTTGGACCTAACTAGGAAGGGCCCTACAAGATCAAATAGGTGGTGGGCCCCGGTACCTTTTGGTTGAAGTGCATTAGTGGAAGACTAGTACCTTGTACATGGAACCCCGAGAACCTATGAATGTATTATTAGTGATGTAAACATGGGTAGTGAAAATTTTGTGAATAAAAAGTGTACAAGTTCCTAAGTTCCTCCTCACCTTGGCTTGATTCACCCTAGTGTAAACGTTCTTGTTTACAAGTTCCTCTCAATTATTGATAATGATTTTCATTTAAAAAAAAGTATTAACTTTTGGTAGACAATTGTGTATTATTTTATTTACTGATTTATAATAATAATTATTATTACTTATTACTAAAAATTAAATTATTGATTGATTGATTGAATTAATTAATTAATAGTTATGAACTTATGTAATCAATTCATAATTAATTATTTTACTTAATTTTAAGAATAATTGATAATATGTATAATGTATAAATTATTAATAAATAGTTAGTTAGTTAATTAATAATTACATAATTTTTTTTGTTTTAAATATTAATTAATTAATATTCATCTTCCTAAAAATATTTAATAATTTATATTTTTTGAATTCAATTATTTATTTATTATTTTATGTTCATAGTTAATTGTTAACGAATTTGTTTAGCAGTTAAATAAACTATTTCATTTATAGGGTACAATGGTTAATTTTCATTTTTCCTGTAGTGAATCAAGAAAAACTTACCAACTCCAATACTCCTCTAAAAGTAATTATTATAATTTCAAAAGCATTCGAATGTCACAAATGGTTAATTTTCAATCCCCCTTTCTTTCTCTTGAACTATTCATTTGAGATCTAAAGAACCCATGCTACCTCCTCACTATCATCACTTTTAGCAACAAGTTCCATCATCGCAATGCATCCTCTAATGGGATTCCATTATTTTAGTTTGTTTGAAAAATGCACTTGAAGATTGTAATAAACAGAAGGTTGTGGACAAAAAAGCAGCAACCTACTAGAGGAGGTTGAATTTTTCCCACATTCAGAGCCCATCTATCTGTATTCTTTTTCCTTCTTCTTGTGTTATTGGACAGTAACCTTATAGGAAATTAGAGACAAACAAATTGGACAATCCAAAAACCACATCGAATCATTAATTTGCAAACAAACAAATCTGAAGAGAGTACTGTAACTAATTTCTTTCTCTATTTAAAATTTCTAGATTATTTCTCTTCTTGTTTGGACATTATCGAGAAGAAGCATGGATGATATAAAGGGATAAATGGTAGACTCTTAGGAGTGAGAAGAAGCATGGATATCACTAACTATGTGATATTTATTAATTTATCAAATAGTGCTTCCACACATTATTATTTACTACACATGAACTTTAACGAGCCTCCTCTCTCTTTAGTTTTATTAATAGCGACATCCTCCTTCAGCTGGAATGATATGAAAGGGTTTGGAAGCTTCTTGCATTTATTATAGTTACGCTCATCGAATCTCCACATAAAGTCCTACAAGGAAAATCATAATATTAGCACAATAAATATAATAATAACTAAAAAAGGAAGCCATATTCTTTGTTTTAATCAATTTCTTTTCTATCTTAACATGCTTAGCCAAAGTTATTATCAAATCAAAAGCCTGATATTAAACCACTGAAATCCAAAGTAGAGGTAAAAGATGAAAGTTAGAAATGCAACCAACCAACCTTGACATAAAGCTAGTCTTCATACTAAACTTTCTGCAACGGCATGAACATTTAAGCGGGGATGGATGTGAATGACGAAGTCGCATATTTCGTGGGATAGCGAATATATGCATTGATGTTGCATACTCCATATGGTAATTTATGGTTTCTTTCCATTAACATATATCCTGAGATGCCCCAGTTATTTCCATATGAGTTCTTAATTATCCAATAATCAGTGCCAGAAGACGTGGTCCCATAACCCACGATCAAAACTGCATGATTGACGTTTGATGGATTGTTTGTTGGGCAGCTTGATCCTTTGTAGATCCCCTGATTGGTGAGCACTCTAACCGATTAATTTGTGATTATCGGACAAAAGTTTAAGATAATGAAAATGGGAACTGTTGCTTCCCTCTAGATTATTATTATTATTATGTATTCAAATATTCGAAATATATAGAATGCAGTAGTAACTTACTCCTCTGTATTGACTAAAATCTGCTGGAGCTAATATCAATGCACTAACAGGTTGTTGAAAAACTGCACAAAGAATGGATTCTTCATCATTATAAACCAAACTATATCCATCAATTGTTGCTGCTTTAACCTGACCAAAATAGTGAAAAAAAGGGGAGTCGTTAACTTAGTATATCTACGCCACTTTGATGTATTATCCAAATAAAAAAACCATACAAAGAAGAAATTTTAAGTGTTATTGGTTTAAAGTGATAGTTTTTCATTATCTAATCTCTCTCTTTCCCACACACACACACATTTTAACACAACCGTACAACATTGGTAGGAAGAACAATAGATGATGGATCAAAAAGAAAAACTAACCACATTATTTTTGCAAATCCCTTTTTGTCCAATGTAGGGATAATTGTCTTCACTAGATATACCCCCATTACCGATGACCCACTGGAAAGCCACAGATATCCAACCTCCTCCACAATCACCTTTGGGACTACAATCCAGTATTTGTTGTTCTGATAGACTTATAAGGTTTCTAGTGACGATATAGTTTATTCCTTCTATCGCGCCTGCAGATGAGAATGCCCAGCAGCTTCCTACCAAGAAAGATACATCAAAGACTAATTAGAAGAAGACATGGGAACAAAATACTTTAATTAAATTCTAAGCATTTCTAGCACCTTTCGTGAGTAAAATTTAATATACAATATGCAACTAAATATACTAACCACAATATCCCTGATTTTTAACCTCGGTTACAGCTCCCTGAGTTCTCCAATCAAATGTTGAGGGAGGAGTGCATGAAGCCTTAACCCTCGTTTTATTTGCTTCAAGCGACATGAGTTGTGTAGTATTCAATTTTGAAAGATAAACCTCACTGAACTCTTCAAAACTCATATCGGAAAATTGTGTGAGTCCCAAAATATGATCAGATGGCCCTCTCTTGGAGTTCCAATCGATTATGTAAGCCAGCTTACTTTGAAATATCTTGAATCGCCTCTCCTTTTCTTCTAGGCTTGCATACGCCTTTCCATGCTTATGTATCCATCGCTCAAAGAGTAGAGAAATTCCTTCATCCGAGAATATTTCATCAGGATCATAACCCAAAATGGAGTATTGAACAGGAACACCTAAATTAAAGTTGAATAGGGACAAGAGCACTAAGAAGACAAGTATCAAGTTATTTTTCATGACACCCATTGTAAAATGATAAGCAACTAACAGAAGAAGAATGGTTTTTCTTGTTGTAACTATATCTATCTATCTATCTATATATATATAGCAATGAGACTAGTAGATAGGAACTCTCTGCGAGGAGAGTGGATTCGCTAATCTTGATGGTTATGTTACGAGTTGTTGTTGGGACCAATAATAATGTCCCATCCAGGCCATAAATCATTTGATGATTCACTCAACCTATACGATTACCTTTTTTATTGATAAAATATCAAGGTTGGAGCTGGTGTTCTATAACATGAAAGTTTTGCCCATTGAATTCCATAAATTTCCAGAGAAAATTTTTCACTACTTAATCTATTGGCCATAATTTTAATGATATAAAAACCTATGTTTTTGAAATGGTGTAAAAATGAAACCTTATTTTAATCCAAGTGTCAGTCTAGCGGTTCAACCAAAAACTTCATTTGCTTATTGCCAATGTGTAGTAGTGGTACTGTTTGTTGTTGTAATAGTAGTAGTGAGCAAAAATGAACATCAATACAACGATGATGGTATCTAGAGAAAATTGGAAAAATAAAATTTCCACATCCAACGCCATTTGATATGATGTTGCATCATCAGTTGACATGATGATGTTACATCATCATCACTTGTTTATGCATCTATATTACTATTCAAGTATGAACGAATGGGGTTTTAGATCTTCAAACTTTCACCTGAATAAAATACTTTAGTTTTGAATTTTGCCCCTTTCCATTGTGATGGTGGAAAATTTATCTTATTCCCTATCATTATGACCTTTCATTGAGGTATTAACTCCCTAACTCTTTCAATCAATACTATATTTAAAGATTTTAATTTGTTTATATTATTCCTTCTCTAAGGCCATGTACGTATTCTCTTAATGCCTCTAATCTCTTATCTCTTACCACAACTTTAACAGGCATTAAGAATGTTCATTTCCAATTTTATCATTGGCATTAACATGCATCACATCATGTACAATAGCAATAATAGTCACTTTTATTTTCCAAAAATACCTAGAAGGGTTATTTCTTTTATGTATGCTATGATGACCTTGTATAACACTAGTAATAATAATGATGATGATGATGATGATGATGATGATAATAGTAATAATAATAATAATAATAATAATAATAATAATAATAATAATAATAATAACAACAATAACAATAATAATATATTATCCTTATTACTATGACTACCAGTACTACTACTTTATTAATTATGCATGTATTATTTAATTATCTATATTGAATGATGTTATTGTTTAGTTAATTATGTAACAATATATTATTTGTATTAATTAATGGTTATCAATTATTGATAATGATTTTAATTTTCTAAAAAAATATTTACTATTTGTAGACAAATGTGTATTATTTTATTTATTGATTTATAATAATTATTATTACTTATTACTAATAATTAAATTATTTATTGAATGAATTAATTAATATTTATGAATTTTATGTAATCAATTCATAATTAATTATTTTTGTTAGTTTTAAGAATAATTGATAATATGTATAATTTATAAATTATTAATAATTAGTTAGTTACTTAATTAATAATTACATAATTATTTATTTTAAATATTAATTAATTAATGTTCATCTTCCTAAAAATATTTAATAATTCATATTCTTTGAAATCAATTATTTATTTATTATTTTATGTTCATAGTTAAATGTTAATGAATTTGTTTAGCAGTTAAATAAACTATTTCATTTATAAGGTACAATGGTTAGTTTTCAATTTTCATATTCTGAACCAAGAAAAACTCACCAACTCCAATACTCTTCTAAAAAGTAATTATTATAATTTCAAAAGCATTCGAATGTCAGACTTTGAATACACCTTGTGCCTTTTGTACTGGGTGCTTTTGTCTTCTATCAAATGATGATGGCATACAACCAATTTATTGCTCTACGATATAACAATGATGCATAATCATCATTGTATAAATTTTAGTTGCATTTTTATACCTTCAACATTATAGATTATAGATTTAAGAGTAAATTGTAGATTAATACTCTATACCGTGTGGGTGGTCTTACTATAGTACCCATACTTTGAAAAGTGTTACTACAATACTGAAGTCAGGCCACCTCCAAAGTATAGTGTACTAATATGCAATTTACTCTTAAATGTATAATCTATAATTTTAAAGGTATAAGAATGCAACTAAATTTAATAGAATGATGATTATGCATCTTCATTACCGTAGAGTAAATTGGCCCTATGAAACCACCATCATCATTTGATAGAGGCCAAAAGCACCCCAAAAAGCATTTGGTGAAAAAGCAGTAAATGGGTATCCATCAGATGGAAATGAGAAGACTTTTCTCAAAATTCTTGACATTCTTAAAGGAGAGTGTGATCCTAAAGTGGTGAACGTACTCCTAGGGTTTTTTCTAAGCTTGGCTTAGTAGGCTTCATTGTTGTGTAGACCATGATTCAATCCGTTCATTGTTGATGCAGCTTCTCTATGCATACAATAATAAATCATCCACATATTCCAAAAACTACTTAAAAAATAGGAGTGAATGACCAACAATACCTCTACTATCATCTCTTGATGTAAAAGCAAGCACATGCTTAAACTTATACTTTGGCTCCAAATCTATTTTAAAGCTTAAACCTTTATAGGAAATTTGTTCGAAACATGTTGAAATATAGGGACAGGCATTTCCCCATAGTTCATACACGGTGATGTAGTGACAAGTGCTTCTAGAAAAGCCCATTTAGAGGAAAGAAGCCCCACCAAATGCAGCTTAAAAGCTTTGAGAAGACACAAGGTATGTTTTAGCCTTTATGAGAAAACTCAGAGTATGTTTAAGTCTTTTACCCTGAATTTAATTAATATAATTTATTAGTGAGAAATACCTTAATTATAAGATTTAATGAAAGAGAATGGTTGTTAATACCTTAAATAAAAGATTTATTGAAGATGAATTAAGCAAGGTAAAAAGTAATAATTCAAATTACACTTTAACCCTCACAATTAGAGATGGACTAAATTCAAAACTAGGGGTATTTTAGTTAAAGAAAAGTTCTACACCCTGCTTCATACTTTTTATAGCAGTATAAAAGTATAATTATAGATATAGATATATAATTACGCTAGTTCAGTTACATGCTCTATAAATCCACATACAACAATGTAATTGTATTTCGAAATTGCAGGCATATGCATACTTGGCTTCATCATCGAAGGAACAAGTTCTTCACAGTAATTGTATGTAGTGATAAATCTGTAATCAATAGGGAACATTTCATCACACTAGGCCAATCTCATGTTAATTACCCGGTTCTCCATTTGTCTATGTTTTCTTTGTTGGCTTGTTAATTTCATAATATTCTTTTGCAGTTTAATGGGATAAATTTAAATTTTGTCAAAAAGGTTTTCCTTGAAGCAGGCCTGATTTAGAGATAGGAGACATGTTAGGTTAACTCAATTCGTTTATTTTTATAATATCATCTTTTGCATCAATAGGTGCATTGCATTACTTGGCTAATTAATCTAGTACTAGAAACTAAAGGGAGTCCTTGAAAAAAAAAAATCTGTTATTCTTTGGGTGCCGCTGATTGCTTCTGGAAGATGGGTTCATTGATTTTGCAGCTTGAAATTGTGAAGAACATTGAAAACTTGATGTTTTCGTGTTTTATGAACTGTTGAAAACCTTTTTATGCAGGTATGTTCGTTGATTTTCAGCCTGAAATTTTCCATAACCCCTAAATACATTTTGAAGATTTGTGAGCTGTAGAAGAAATTCTTGTGGGCTAAAATGGGTTATGGATGCTTAGGGGAAGGATTTCCCACTGCTTCAATTGAAGCATATCCATCATCTTCCAAGTATGTTCAGCTTGAAGTGGGATACGAAATAATGAGTTGGTGTAGAACACTCGTGGGTCTCTGGATGAGTCTTGTGCCATTGTAGCAGGTATAGAACACTTGTCACACTCTTTTTTGTCAATTTAAGGGTATCAGTTGGACTAGATTTGGTCCAATCCGATTCAGTTTAATGTGAGTCCATTATAAATGGACCTGGTCCAATCAAATCCAATGAATATTTTGGACCAGTCCAATTCAATGTCTGGACCGTTTAATCTGTTCAAATTCGTTTTGGTTTAGATTGGTTCAATGTAAACCCGGTCCATTGACACCTATATTCTTATGTTATATCAATAGACCAGAAATTGGTTTAATCCAACCGAATCCAATATAAATTAATTACAGATGGACCAGGTCCAATCCAATAATAAATGTTTTGGTCCAATCCAATAATAAATGTTTTACATTAAGAAGGGCCAAAGGAATAGAATTTAAAGAAAGATGGAAAACATGCTTAGATACAAATGCTCTTAAGAACGAGGAATCCAAGAGCTATTTAAAACAGGTGCTAACGCTATGATAGTTATCTACTGGAAAACCACTGAAATTCATGTCTTTTTTTATTGTATTTTATTTTGCAATTTCCAATTTTTTGTATTTTCTGTTTTAGCATGTAATATGTATTTTTATATATTCTCTTATTTTCTGCAATTCCTGCATAAATATGCATTAATGCTTGAAGGCTTTGAAACGTGCTTGTATGGAACCAACAAGAAAATCACATCCCACAAACACGAAAAAAATTACGATGTTAAATCGTCAGAAATGATGCTTCGGGCAGTGGTAGTGTCGCTCCTTTGAATCGAATGATACACAATTTTTTTCTTTTTTTCTTTTTTTGTGGTAGTGTTGCGTGTGTCGAGGATTATCGATACTTCAAAAATCATGGCCAAACTGATATGCAAGTAAATTCAGTCAGACCCTGTTTATCTTTTTGGACACAGAACCCACACAAAAGGTCATGTATGATCCACCTGGGAAGTGGGGACAGTGGGACACCCAATTGCCGGTTTAGAATAGCTAGAATCCTTTTGATATTATACGAAGGTCGAAGGTCAAGCTATTCTCCTTTTCCAACAAAAATAAATAAATGAAAGACTTCCTACTGACGTGCATACGATCTGAAAGACTGAAATGCAAGATCAACCATCGTGTTCTTGAGAGGCTGAAATAACTAAGCGTGTGAATGTATGCATGTACGAGGTTATAATTTACAGATGGAATTGAAACCAAGATGCCGCTCACAGTAAAGATGTAATTAAATAAATTACGAAGAGAAGATTGAATTTACTACGTAAGGAATGTCACATTATTTTCACATGTTGCTCAGTAAAACAAAAAAAAAAAAAAAGTGAAAGTTTGATACATCCTGCCACTTATGACCAAAGAGAAAAAAAAAATGCCTCCAATTACCTGTACGATGAAGTTGTTGAATCTTGTGATTAGAGTTAAGCATCCATTTTCACAGTTGTATGTTGACCATAGCTGCATTCTTTTGGAACAGATTACTCCTTCTGCATCAAGAACACCAAACTTCAAAATCCTAAGAATTGATGCAACTTAGAATGGATATCCATTTTGAAAACAAGTACATGTTAGACTCCATACAAGGTAACAATTCTTGACCTCTTTATTCTAATAATTCTAATCAATCTTCGGTGGGGTTAAGAATTGATAACCAATCAAACTGGTATTTATGTATTTTGCCTTTTCAGTATCATAGAAGTTGCCTTTCTTTTCTTGTTCAATTCTTTATTGTGATTAGCATAGTTGTCAAGGCAACGGCTAGTCGGGCGCCTAGGTGACAAGGTGCCCTTTGAGGCTCGCCTCGCCTAATCGCCTAACAATTTTCTATTTCCTAATATAAAATACTTTTTTATTCATTCTTTTTTGAGATTATAATTATAAAATAGACATTATTAAACTAAAATAATCATTTTGTGTGTTTATATACAATTTCTTTTTATTTCTTCTTATTTATTAGGGTTTAATCAACACAAACATTGCTAAATGCTGTATTGAACCCTCAAAGGCTTAAAAACCTGAACCAATAAGTAAGGAAAAACTAAAAATTTTATCTAATCAGCACATTTTCCTCTTACATATATTCTTCTTCTACTACTTCTTCTTCTGCTACTACTATCATAATTATTTTCTTTTCCTATAACAAAAATAAGGGTTCAGCCCCTATATTTTTTGAATTTTATTTTCCTTCTTCATTTTCTTCTCATGAATATGTTGATTTTCTATACTTTAATATGAAATTTATACTTTTCTTATGAAAATCATGAATAATTATTAAAGAAATATGGTTATGGTACCCTAGGAAACTACCCTAGGATCTATGTTTTTAACATAAAAAATCCATTGCCTAGGTGCCCGCCTAGGTGACTAGGTGACAAGGCGCCCCCAGTCGCCTAGCCTCGCCTTGTTGCCTTGAAAACTATGGTGATTAGGACAGTTTTTGAGTGATTATAACCTAGGAAAATGACTAGATATGCTGCGCAAGATAAAATTTAATAGTTTTTGGGTTTCATATAGATTATGGCCTTTGGTTAAAAGAGCTTTTTGGGTTTTATGGGCCATAAGTAGGCTAGACTATGGCCATTGGTTAAGAGGTTGACATAAATCTTAATGCCTCAACTAAACTCTTAAGACTTTAAATTTTGTAACAGACAATTTAGGTTTCCTTGAGGAGGCAAGTGCTGCAATTAGGGACTTGGGGTGCAGGGTGCTGTGAACAGTCTTTGTTTGAAAATCTGGCATGGAGGAGTGGGAGGACTTCCTTTGTTGTTGTTTGGTTATTTGCTTCTCAGATGGTTGTCCAGATATGGTTGAGGTTGAGAGGTGGGTTTGCCTTATCTTGCACAACCTGCAGAGAAGAGAATGCTTGTCAGGAAGTTGGAAGAGAGTGAGATGCTTCTCATCATCTCTTCTGAGGAAGAAGCCGGTGGAGCACTGCACTCTGTGAAGTCTTGTTTAAATGGACTTTGTTTCCCCCTGTCCCGGTGGATCCCAATGAGACACTTCAAAAGGCAGAGACATGGACAGTGGTGGATCCGAGTTTTTGGAGTTCCCCTGCATGCCTGGTGCCCTGCTGTGTTCAAAGAAATCGGGGATGCAGTAGGAGGTCTCATTAAGGCAGACCCATCCAACATTTCTTGGAAGAATATTGATTCTCTTCAGCTGTTCTTTTGGAGTAAATGAGTTTGGGACATTCCCAAAACCACTGAACTGGTGGTCAGGTACCTCCTACGTTTAGCAGTAGAAGATGTCGTTTCTCAGGCAACCGTTTCTGTCAGGTCTGTCACTGGTCGACTGGTTTCCCTCAGGCCCTGTAGTGTTCCCCCATCAGAAGACAGGGTTGATTTGAATTTTCCTGGAGCGAGGCTTTTTCAGGCAGGGACGAATACCAGTTGCGGTGAGTTTAGCAGGTGAATCAGGAGGCTCCACTCTATATCGTTTTAGTGGAGGTAACAATGATGTTGCAGATCATGCCCAAGGAGAAGACAAACAGGTTTTGATCCCAGACATCAATCTATGCACCTATTGGTTCCCAGGAACAATCTGATTTGTCTTTTCTTTGGTTCCAAGCCATTCTCTCCATCGTTGCAATCCCAAGGATTAGTTCTGTGGGGCTCTCTTTGGCAAAGACTTTTGGAGATAAAAGGGTCCAAGTATTTGTGGTAGGCCTCATAATTCTCGGCAAGGTCCTTTTGTTGTCAGAGGGCCCCAAAAGCATTTGATTCCAGCTGATCAGGAAGACTCTATTGACTTGACCCCTGAAAGTGTCAGCATGCCTGTTTCCAAGTGTTCTCACCAGACCACTGAAGCCTCCTACTGGATTGGGCAAGTGGACCAAGAAGATCCACTTTCGGTGGTTGATTGTCGCCTCCCTTCTCCTTTTCAGGTGGAGCAATTGATGAATTCTCGCAATTTTCTTGGGGTCTCTTCCATGGATGGTCAAGAAGATCAAGTCTCAGATTGGTTAAAATCCAAAGAAAACAAAGTGGTGAGAGATCATGATGTGTCGCTGGATCTCATTACAAATCAGGAATCGGATTTGGATTTGTTTAGCACCTCATCCGGTTGTTCTTCTGAAAGTTTGGACTACTTACACGATCTTAGAAGACCCAAACACCTTGTGGAATGTTATGACATTGTGGTAGCAAAGCCTACCACTAGTGGCATTCAGAATGCCAGAGAAATGGATAGAAGAGGTAGAGGAAGGCCTCAATCCATGGCGCACAAAGCACCAAAGGGAGGGGTAGAAGAGGCAGAGGAAGGTCAACGATCAGTAGGGGTGCTCACAGTTCGGTTAACCGAACTGTGGGCTTATTTTTTAAACCGAACTGGTACTACCAGTTTCTGGAAAACTGATAACCAAAATCAAACTGAAGCCAATCAATTAACTGGTTGACTAGTTCGATTAATCGTTGGTTCAGTTCATTAGTGTTTCGGTTTTTTTATATTTACAATATATATTATAAATAAAAATAGAACCATATAATAAAAAATAGAAATACATATAAAATATTATATTCTAAATAATAAATTATATATCATATATTATAAATATATATATATATATATATTTATATATAATGCATATTTATTAATTATAATATATGGATAATATAAAATATATATGAAAAAAATATATACTATACATAAATATACATATAATATATAGAAATATATGTATACCGGTTGTTTCGATTAACTGCCAATTTTTTATATTGGTTAACCGAAACCAAATTGACCGGTTCGGTTAACTGAAATTTTAAAGTTTGGTCTCGTTGGTTTGGTTTTTCAGTTTTTCTTGCTCACCCCTAGCGATCAAAGGATAGAGTTATTTTCTCTTCCATGTTGGCATAGTTGGCCTCAGGTCTTAGTGGCTAGGGTGGTGAGGCTCATTAGGTGTGGGCCCTTTGTTTGTCACCTCTTACTGTTAGGTTTTTGTTGTCTCTGTTTGGGCCTAGCAGTCCCTAGCTGGGTGCAGTTCCGATCTGCCGACCACAACACATCGCTGGCCATGTTTACCCAGCTGCACATTGGGACATCTCTTGTACTTTATATCACTGACAACCCCTATTTGCGGTTAGGCGAATGTGGCCAGCAATGTGTTGTGGTCAGCAGATCAGGACTCAGCTGGGTGTGGTCTAGGTTTTCTGGGCCCCTGTTGTTGCTTGCAATCGTTTTTTGTCGTTTTTGGCCTAGTCCAGTTGGGTTTGTCTCTAGGTTTTTAGGTTTTAGGTGTTTTTTTTTTATTTATTTATTTATTTTTTTAGGGGGGTGGGGGGCTGTTTTTGTTCTTGGTTGTGTATGCCTTGTATACATTGATATAGAAGTAAATTATGCCTTGTATACGATTTTGTTTTTTTTTTTCGATCAATAACTGAAACAAATTCATTGATATCGATGTAAATTATGCATAAGAAATGCAACAAGGAGAGAGAATCTCTCTTTCTCTCCCAAAAGAAATAAAAAATTACAATACAACCCAGAAGGCCAGAACAGAAGACTTCTTCCCACCCCTTGTTTGGGCCAATGTATCAGCAAAGGAATTAGCATCCCTTTTTACCCATTGTACACAAAACTCAAAGTCTTGTAACAAGATGCCTATTTTCCTTCTCATAGATATAATCCCACCATCCAGCATCCTCCTCCAGTTGCAACCAATTTATAACCAGTTTAGAGTCCCCTCCGACCAACTTACTATTATTCAATTCCTTAGCTTTTTGAATCCTTCCAAAACAACCAAAATTTCAGCCCTCATCGAGTCGCTTACACCAATAGGACCTGAAAATAGCACAATAACCCTTCCCTCCTCATCCCTGAAGACTCCAACAATACCTGAAGGACCTGGATTTCCTTCACTGCTGCCATCAAAGTTTAGCTTTATGAAATCAGAAATTAGGTGGGGACCAAACTAGCTTGGTCACAACTCTGTAAGAAGACAAGCCAACAATTTCAAACCACTTCCTCATCTCTTCACTAGCATGAAAATCCTCAAAAGAGTTTCAACTTCACCCAATGGACCACACTAATCATAATAATTTCAATTAGAGAACTCTAAATTCTTTCAACACTAGAGAAAGTTCTTTGATTCCTTTCTTCCTAAATTGTCCAGCAAACCACTAGCCTTATACACCTCCACAGAGTTCTTCCCCTCTTCTTTGGCCAAGAAAGAAAGAGGCAAACAGGTTTTGTACATTTGGCAGGGGGCTCCACCTACACCAAAACAAAGAAAGAAACCATTTCCAAATTGAAGAAGAAAGAGAGTAGGTGATTAATAACTGATAGCAGGACTCACCTTTGGCTTTACAGAGAGAACACCAGTGAGGAGATAAAGGACCAATTGGGTTTCTTTCTTTGGAGCAAGTCACAAGTGTTAATTCTTTCCACAAATAATTCCCATAAAAAAACTCTTATCCTAGGTGGAATAGGTCTACTCCACTCTCTAATAGGAAAAGGAACCCCAAGGTTGTCACTCAATTGAATTAGGGATTTATAGAATGACGCACAAGAAAAAGGACTTGAGAAAGAAAGAGTCCAAATTCAAGAATCTCTTCTTGTAGGCTTGAAAATCACTCTCAAGGCTTTGGAGCAAAGACGAAACATCATTCATGAAGACCACTTCGAAATCCCAAATCCCACTCAAGACCAGATCTTGAATTGGATTGAACCAAAAAAGAGGAGATAGGTTCATCTTTACGATTTTGATAGACCAAAAAGAGAACGATGTTGGTCCTTTAGGGGAGAGTAACCCAACCAAACAAACATGTTCCCAGAATTTGACAAAGTTCCCAAAGCATGGTTTATACTTGATAAATGGAAAAATGAAGTATGAGATGGATGGGTTTCCATGGAGAAGCTCATGTAGCCCCAATCTGAAATCCAGAGTCCTAGCCTTCAGCCACAAGGCCATGAATGCTGATGACCACCTTTTTCCCACAACTTATCTCTACTCACCTTTACCATGAGGCCAATTTCTTAGTGAACCTCTCAATCTCTGGATTCCAAAAATGGCTATTCCTAGGGCTATCCCCTAAAGGAAGACCCAAATGGGTCAAGGGCCATTGAGAGACCACAAAACCCAAAATTTCCGCTCTCTTAGTTATTTCCTCATTCATATTCAAACCCACAATACAACTTTTGTGAAGGTTGATTTTTTGGTTGCACATTTTTTCAAAGAGCTCTACAATCCGCTTTAAGTTCCTTACTCAATTTAGATCCCCTCCTTCACAAACCAATATTGTGTCGTCAGAAAATTACAAATGAGTAACTAGTATTTCACCCTGCCTACTCTCCAACCCCTTATTAATCCTTGAGAATCAGTCCTCATTACTAATCTCTCAAAAACATCAACAATCAAAGTGAAAATGAAAGGAGAGAGGGAGTCTCCTTGCCTTAAACCTCTGAGGGCTGGAAAATGATCCACCGCCATACCATTCACCAAAATCAAATAGTGACAAGTCCAACCACACCCCAAGATCCATTTACACCAACAACCTCTCTTTTTTCTTTTTAATAGATTAACCTTACATTCTCCCCCCCCCCAAAAAAAAAAAAAGAAACGGTGGCTTCTCAATATTTTTCCTCTTGTTTTTCTCTCTTTTGCTCTTATTGACTAAACCTAGATACTTTCATTTCATATAGGCCATTTCAGAAGTTAAGGATTAGGAAAAAATTTACCATCCTCCAGCTTTCCAATAAGAAAGTTTCGAACATGTAGGATCCAGTAATGTTTTAAAACATGGAGGCGTGAAGTGAGGGGTTCCACTAACTGGAGGCATGAGGCATAGTTCAAAACATAAGAGACGTAAACCTCCGTAAGAGGGGGAGGAAGGAAGGAAGGAGGATCTCATTTTTCTATATTTTTAATTAAAACTGTTTATATTAAGAAGAAATGAAGATGCATAACACTAGCTGAAAGGGGGGGTCTTGTTGAAGCAGAGGCAAGCGAGCAAAGTGAGCAAGTTTTTAAAACACTGGATCCACCATTTGATGGCTCCTAATTACACAGGTCAAGAAGCCTAAGCCAATCATAGCATTTTTTACAACTAGAAGAATACCAGTAATTTAGCCAATCACAATTTAGTTCTCGAGATCTCCACAGTATCCTTGAAATATGGCGGATCTCTTAATTATGCATGAAGAGGATGGCAGACAAACTAACTGTATTTATCAGGATCCTATATTTATTGATAATGTATGTACTAATTACATGCATAACTTAACATTTGCATGTGATATTTAGGGTCAGTGAAATTGAGTATCTCTGCAAATGCATTGTCTCCAGCTCTACAAACATATCTGTTTCTTGATTACCTACATAATTACTATAGCCTATGTTTGGAGTTCAGACTTTTGATAATCGGCATCTAGTTCCAAAAAAATTTGACAGTCCATATCATTCAATGCAAGATGGGTTGAGTTGTGACTTTTATTAGGCCCAGATCTTGAAGCACAATGAATAAAGAGATAACAGGTGAGAGAGAGAGAGAACCTTCTGACGTTTTGAATTTGGAGCAGTCGGAATATGATCACTGCACCTACGCAAGTTCCCAGTGCTAGAGCTCTCTGTGGTCTACGCACATGACATCGTATAATGGAAACTAAATCAGTTATTTGAGGTTCATGTAACAAGAAAAACAAGAGGAAACACAAAAAAAAAACACATTTTGCCCTTTCCCAGAAAGTTTTTATTATGCATTTAATAAATTGGCAAGGGTCTGGACCTGTTTTCCTCTTATATTTTTTCATGATTGCATGAGTATACTTACTTGTGTTGAAGAACCACAATCAGCTCTATGCCCCGAAGTGTCTATACTTTCTGGTAATATAACATCTTGCTCTGTAGCTGTGATTTGGGATATCACGGGTATAACTTGGCGAAGCAAATTGGATAAGAATATCCCATCATCAGATCCCACTCCAGAGGCTGCATCCCTTGCATCAGCAGCATTTCTGGTTATCCCTACATGTTCAGTAGCAGAGCCAAAAGTCATGCCATGGAAATTAACATTAGCAACACTGATTTGCTCACCAGGAAAAAGGGTCCTTAACAACTGATCAAATCAGTTGGGAATCTATGCTGCAGACTCTCGATCATTTTGGGTCCCACTACTTGACCATTTTGCATCAGTATCATGTTTTTTGACAGTTCTAGCATTCATGGTTAAAAGGTCCCTACAATTCAATTTAATTAATCAGATTTTTTTGATAACTTCCAGGAGTGTTCTACAACATGTATGTTTTTGTTATCATTTGTTTTTGAAATTGCCACATCAGCAAAAAACAAAAGAAAGTTCTCAAACTGTATTTTTGTTTTGAAAAGTAAAAACAAGTTGGTATTGTTTCAAAAGAAAACAATACATATTTTTTAAACCATCAAAACTACAATTTTTAAAACATGTTAAATAACCAGATAAAAACATGCTCTTTACCTTTTTCAAAAAAAAAAAAAAAACAAACTCAAGAACATATTTTTGGTTTCAATTTGGAAACAAAAGGCACACATAAACATGTTTTCTTTGTTGTTTTAAGAACCAATTTGCTTTCAACCCGGTTGGGTTCTTTTTTTTTTTTTTTAGAAATTTGCAACAAGGAAAACAGTTCACTTTGGAGAACACTCCCTTGATCACTCATATAATTGAAATTAAATTGAATTTATAACTTCAAGACTGATTGAACCCTTTCTTTTATTGGATTCCATTCAGTGAGATGGTTTTTGCTCTGCACTATGGTCCTAAGCCTGAATGGAGAAGTGTTGTGCATGCTTGGCAAATAGAATGTTTGGTGGACTCTTCTTATGTATCTTTTTCTTTTTTTTTTTTTTCTATTTTGAAAATAGGTAATGAATTCATTGAGAAGAGGAATAATCTATGAATAATAAGCTACTACTGTAAAATTTTGGTAGCTATGTTCTGAATTTCTGATTACTTGAATCATTAATGGTCTCGTAGTCATAGTTGGATAAGTTAGATTGTAAGTTGGTTTTCCTAATTGGTTTAGGAGTTATGTTAACAAGTTGGAGTTATTTTAGTAGGCTAGAGTCGTAGTCCTATAAATAAGACCTCTCTTTTTGATATCAAATGAAAAGTGAGTTTTCTATTTCTAATGGTATAGTTTATCTAATTTTTTGGATGGTGTTGATTCCTTCAAGAAGCTATTGCATGCTAGTCTTAATAGAACCTCTAGGTTCAGATTCCTAGAGAAGACTAAGTACTGATACATAGGTTATTTTTATCTTGCAGTTTTTATTTTGCAGTAAATCTTGCATCAGTATGGTACCAAAGCAGTTGACCCTGCATCAAGGTGAACAAGAGATGGGATTTTCCAATCCATATGGAAATTGGGAACAATAATAGATAAAACCTTTGATGCAGTGGATTCTAGGAAAAGAAGAATGTAACCTGTATGCATGAGAGCAAGCATGTTGAGTTATTGGGACATGAGAAGCTTCCTTGTTCTTTAGCCTTTTGTTATGTTAATGGGCTTTAGTTGTAGAGAGCCAAGGCCGTCTTTTATTTCCTTATTCTTTCTGCTGCCTATTAAGGTCATCCTTGTTATTTCCTTTTCCATTAGGATGGTTTCAACAAATCATTAAGATGGGCTGGAAAACAGCTATGATCTCTTCCTCCCAAAACCTTCTCTTCTCTCTTTTCTCTTTCTCTCTTCTATTCTGACTGTTTTCTCTATATTTAAGCGCATAATCTCTAATGAAACCATAGGATTTATTGCTACTTTTCTTCCTACTGTAAAGATGGAAAAGTCAAGGAAATTTATTGCTACGGACTGGCAAATAGGCAAGTCTTTTAAGACCAAAAGTATACCACCCAAAATGACAAAAACAGAATTAAGCTAAAATTACAAAATGAAACAATTAAACCTAAATTTTCTACCTTGATCATTTTGTGGGGTTGTATTTGTTGAGTTGACATCTCTTGCAGAAGCATCATGGTTTAATCCTATATTTTGGTGTTGCACTGCAGATTCAGGGCTTGGACGTTGCTCAGTTTCAGGAACACTCGGAGGTCGTTCAGAAGCCACTTGGGAACCTCTTGGACTGCTGAAATGGCCAGAAGTTACATGTTGAACTCTAGCAAGAAGTGGATAGAATAACCCTAGAGAACTACCAGATGGATCAGAAGGTGGACGGTTGACTGGAGCAGGAACTGCTGCAACCACAGTTCTGATTGGTACTACCCTTACTCCAGACTCTCCAGTAAAAGAATGAGCACCTGCAGCCCCTGCTAAAACAGGTCTTGCTGGATTTGTTTGCCCTGGAGGTTGCTGTACACCAGCTTGTTCCCCTTGATTAACATTGGCTGTGGGAATTGAGGACCCAGTTACTAAAATGGATGTAAATGGTTAGAAGAATTGGACACCCAACATCCAAATGTCAACAACATTTTAGGCATAAAATAAAGACAGCACCTGTACGTATCCGTATATCAATATTCCTTGGAATAAAACCAGAAGCAAGAGTACTACCAACCAAACTAGAACCAGAATGTACAGCTCCCATGGGGACTGCACCAAAACTTGTTCCTGGTTGAAAAGGAAGAGGCTGCTCAAACAAAGTTTAATTAGTTTCAGGGGAAGAAAAGAGACCACCAAAAAACAAATAATTTTAAGTGTAAGAGCATAACCTGCACCATTATAGGATTGGGACCAGATGTTGATATGAAAACTGAGGGTCCAGCATTAACAACAGCCTCGGACTGGTGTAAGAAAACGGCATCACATCACTAGGCCTGTATACATTTTGTTTCTGGAAAATACAGCAGAATACATGAAGGAACTAAAAAATAAACTTACGGGTGTACGGCCCATTCGCAGTGTCATGGTTGCCCGACCAAGCTCAAGTAGTAGAGCACCTAAATTTTGCAAAATAACTCCTGATCTCATTGCATTAGACTGAACTGTCATCCGCATCAGTGGATCAGTCATATTTGCTTGACCCTCCAGTTGTCTTGTAAGTTGCTGTCAAATATAATATGATGCCACAGATTATGTTAAAGCATAAATAGACTTGAATGGTGACAAACAGAAAGAAGAGTCGGAAGAAAACTGGTAACAAAAAGCTTGCTAGTGTAAGTATATGGACAATGAGATAACAGCACATCGCATAGTGATCGTAGCACAATGAGGTAACAGCACATTGGCACAGAACAACAAGTGACATATGCCATGAGACAATGCAGTCAGCCATCGCATAGTGATCATAGCACAATGAGATAACAGCACATCGGCAAAGAACAACAACAGACATCTCACAAGTTTATATCAGCTACCTTCTAATAGCACACCACATCGCAACTCCTTATCTCTTTCTCACATTGCGACATCACAATCCCCCACCTGGTGATTGGCTACCCATCGCTACGTTCTTCATCAAAGCTCTCAATGCATCCATCGTGTATACATACTCAACTTCCCCATCGCCTTCCCTTATCGTATCCTGCATTGTGACACAAGCCCGGCAATATCTGATCACGTGTATCGGATCTGTATTGCAACAGGATTGTCACAGTTCCATATTGTACTCCTATCTTGGGAACACCCATTGTGATTTTGTCATAGTTTTACATTGCTTGTCACAAACACAAGTCAACACTTAAGCATTCTTGAGGCAAAACCTCCCCTAGCACACTCACCAAGGAACTCAAAAGGGGCAGACGGGCAGTAACTGCACTCTGCTTACATGTGTACTGACACAGGGTTACATAATTAGGCACTTGGCTAGAGGTTTTCTAGATGCTTCCAAAGGCTTCTAGCCAACTCTGCATGCTTCCAGGCTGTTCCAAAGCATTCTAGGGTGTTCTAGAGTGTTCTCCATGCATCTAAAAAGGGTCGGATTCTGGTGGAACCTTGTGGAACAATCTAGATTTGTGTGAAACGCCCTAGCGTAGTTTGGAGTGGTGTAGACTTGCTCTAGAGTGTTCTTGTACCTTATGAAATGGGCATCCCATAGAAGAGTGTAGAAGGTAGAATGTTCTAGAGGTGCTTCTAGATGATGCCAAGTGTACATAGTTCTAGAGAATTCTTTGAGGAGGTTAGTGTATAAATAGGGGTCCCCTCCCTCATTTACAAACCATCCAAGTTAGATGTAATTCAGATTAATAAATCTCGACTTTCAGCAAGAAGAAAGTAGGAAGAAGAGAAAACAGTAGAGGGAAGAAGAAGACGAAGGAGAAGAAAGGGAGGAGAAGAAGAGAGTGTTCAATGCTCCTCTCCTAGCCCTCTAATCCTTTTATTAAACTTGTTTAATCAAAGCTAATTACAGATCTGCCCTTAAGTGGGCGGCCAACTCAGCACTTAAAAAGAAATAAAAGAAGCTTAACAGGCACATTAGCAAGTAAACAAAATAAATGAACTAATAAGAAAATAAACCACTGGGGCCCATTCTCTCTACACTCCCCCTCAAACTAAGCATAAATATCAATCATGCCCAGCTTGCTTATATAATGTATCAGCTTTCCTTTTGGAACACCTTTTGTCAAAACATCAGCCAACTATTCTTCAGAAGCAACAAATGGCAAGCAAACATCCCCTAACTTTCTCCCCTAAAAAATGTTTGTTAACTTCTATGTGCTTGGTTCAGTCATGTTGGACCAGATTATGTGCAATGTTAATAGCTGCCTAGTTATCACAATATAGCATCATTGACTTCTCACAATCAATGCCCAATTCTTCCGAAAGTGACCTAAGCCACAATAGTTCTGACACTCCATGCATCATTGGCTTCTCACAATCAATGCCCAATTCTTCCGAAAGTGACCTAAGCCACAATAGTTCTGACACTCCATGCGCCATTGCCTTGTACTCTGCCCTAGCTAAAGATCTAGCCACTATAGATTGCTTCTTACTCCTCCATGAAACAATGTTTCCTGCCACCATAGCACAGTATCCTGAAGTAGATCTCTTAATCATCAATACATCCAGCCCATTGTATGCTTCCAACTTCATGTGTCCATGCTTAGCAAACAAGATACCCTTTTCTAGAGTACCTTTCAGGTAACACAAAACCCTCTCTATAGCTACTAAATGTGTATCTCTAGGGAATGCATGAACTGGCTAATGAGACTCATTGCATAAGAAATATCAGTTTTACACCTGAATACAGAGCCATTATCTTGCCTTCATTATCTCTGAAAACACCTCCTTATACCAAATGGGCCTGGATTACCTATACAACTTCCATCAAAGTTCAGTTTTACCCTTTGTTGCACCGGTGGGGACCAAACTTCCTGTATCATAGCTTTGGAAGAAGTAGTAGTTGCCACAATACCCCAATTTCTATAAATGTCTTCAGCTGAGAAATCCTTAAAAAGATCACATGATTTCAACTAATGGATAACCTTAGTGGTTACTCCTTCCATTGTCTCAGCAGAACCCAAGTAGAGACTACAAACATGGGGGGAGAGGCACATATTTGGCCTCTTTTTCTGCAATAAATCCAAGGTATTGATTTTTTGGAGTGCTACTTCCTAGCAAAAGGCCTGAATTCTTGGAGGTACAGGGCTACCCCACACCTCCTTCGAAGAAAAGTTCCCTACAAGATTAGAGGTTTGAAGCAAAATGTTGTAGAAAGAAGAGCAACTGAAAAAACTAGAAGGGGAAGGTTTCCAAATTCCGCTATCCCTACAAGAGCGATCAAGAAAGACTTTCCCTAATTGAGTGATCAAATCATCAACCATCCCCATTTCAGAATCCCTTAGACCTCTTCTCAAGCCCAAATCCCAGGAGTTATCAACAAACACTGAAGAGATCACTTTTCTTTTGTATTCAAACAATGAGTAAACAGAAGGAAATCTATCTCTAAGGGAGTTTTTACCAACCCAAACATCTTCCCAAAACAAGACTTTATTTCCAGCGTAGACATCATATTTGAAATAAGGGAGCATAAGAGGCAAAATACTTTAAATAGCTTTCCAAGGAGAACATCAAGAAGCCCCAGGGTCGAGTCCTGCATCCCAGCCATTATCTGCCAATCCATGAATACTAACAATCACTCTAGACCAAAGTCTATCATGTTCCATCGATAGTCTCCAAATTCCCTAGCAGAGTCATGTTTCTTAATCTTATATTTCCTAACCCAAGGCCTCCATCATCCGTACTCCTAGAAACCACCTCCCACTTCACTAAGTGATCCTTCTTAGTGTCCCATGGCTCCCACAAGAAACCCTCATTATCTTCTCCAACTGGTTTGCTACTTTTACCGGAATCTAAAGGTAGACAGGAAATAAACTAGTAGGTTGGCCAAGGTTGACTTGATTAAGGTTATCCTACCCCCTAAAGAGATGTAATTCCTCTTCCAATTTGCTAGCCTCTTGGAAAATCTTTCAATCACAGGGTAACAAAAACTCTCAACCATTGGGTTCCCTCCCAGTGGTAGCCCCAAATATTGTAAAGGCCAACCCCCCACTTCGCACCCCAAAATCCTAGCTAGGGAATCCACCTCCTCTCCCCCTAAATTGAGCCATGCCACACAACTTTTTCCCTACTTTACTTTAAGATTAGAGTTCCTTTCAAATTGAAGCACCAATCTTTTAAGTTTCGTAATTCCCCTTACTCCCCATCACAAAACAAGATGATGTCATCTGCAAATTGTAAGTGTGTGACCACCACCTCCTCCCTACCAATCCTCCAACCTCTTATCAAATTGTTAGGATCAGCCCTCGAAATCATGGCACTCAAAACATCATCTACTAGGTAGGGTAAAGAGGAATGGGGACAACGGATCTCCTTGCCTAATACCCCTTTTTGCAGGGAAGAAACCCTTACCTACACCATTCACCAGTACTGAGAAATGACATGAAGAAATGCATCCCTTTACCCATCTACACCATCTCTCCCCAAACCCTCTACACTTGAGAACCGCTAGTAAAAAGTCCCAGTCCACCATGTCATATGCCTTTTCAAGACCCAATTTGCAAACCAGCCCCTTTTCCTTTCTCCTCCTCTTCACCTCAACACATTCATTGGCAATAAGTATTTGATCTACAATTTGTCTTCCTTCTACAAAGGCCCCTTGATACGGTGAGATTAGAGATAGAAGGATTTTTTAATCTTATAGCTAGGACCTTAGAGATGACTTTATACATGCTTCCCACCAGGCTTATAGGTCTGAAATTCTTTGGTTGGAGAGCGTCCTTCTTCTTAGGAACCAAGGTAATAAAAGTTGCATTTGCTCCCGAATTAAATTTGCCTCTCTCATAGAACTCTTCAGAAACCTCCAACAAATCCTCTTCAATTATCTCCTAGCAATCTTGATAGAAGGCCATCGAAAAACCATCAGGCCCAGGAGCTTTAGATCAATCCATGGAGAATATTGCATTTCTCACTTCCTGGACCTCAAATCTTTTTTCCAAAGATTCCAATAAGACACTATCTTCCACCCTCAACTCCAAGTCCTCTAAGCTCTCATTAGGTCTCCTTGGGTTGTCTTACACTAATTTGAAGTGATTAACCAGTGCTTGAGCTATATCCTCTTCCCTTGTCAACAATTACCCATCCCACTCCAATTTTGATACAGAATTCTTCCTTCTCCTCCCATTTGCCAACAAATGAAAAAACCTTGCATTGTTGTCCCCTTCCTTTAGCCATTTGCACCTAGATTTTTGCCTCCAACTTATCTCCTCCTTCCTAAGAAGATCTTTTAGTTCCTGTTTCAAATTCCATCTTTCCACTGTACCTTCTTCCCCCAACCTACTTTCAACTTGTAGTCCATCTAACTCCTGCACTCTCTGACTGATTTCCACTTTCCTTTCCTCCACTCTACCAAAAACCTCTTTGTTGCAAATCTTGAGTCTAGCTTTCAAGAGTTGTAGTTTCTTGTAAAACCTATATCCTTTCCATCGGAATTCCACTTGGTCCACTTCCCACCATTCTTCTACCTTAGCTAGAAACTTTGGATGAAGTAACCACATGTTTTCAACCCTAAAAGGGCACTAGCCTCCACCCACTCTTTCTTGAGACAACCTGATTGGGCAATGATCTGAAACAGGTCTTGGCAATGCTGTAACACCTAAAATCCCCCATTCAGCTTCCCAATCCACTGTAAAGAGGAATCTATCTAAATGACAACAATTAGGGCTTTCTTGGAAGTTTGACCGGGTAAAATTTGCTTGCTGAAGAGGGAGGTCCTGCAATTCAAATTTTTCGACAAAGAGATTAAGAAACACTCCCAGATTTGGAGGGAGATCCAAGTGAGTGCCACATGACTTAACCAACAAGAGCGGTTGAGTCGTGACAGTACGCCAGGCAAGAGCAGGAACTCAAGCACCGAGATAACTGCATGGACACATAGCAAAACCCCAACTGACACAAGTGACTCAGATCTAACAAACTCATAACAGCCTCGTAACAACTTTCCCAAAGAGGGAAAGCTTCCCTCCCTTTCCCTAGGAAAACTATAACTAGTGGATCTCCGAAGGACCTCCTCATGCAATCATAACCTAGACACTGCCCCTCTGAAGCCCAAACTTCTCTTATCCCTGCTCTAACTCTCTAAGCTCTCTTCTCTAACCTCAGATCTTGGATCTGTGAAGCCTTCACCCTACAACTGCCCTAGCTCGCTTGAAACTACCCTCCGAGCCATCTACCGTCTTTCAGGTAGACCTCTGTGGTGCCTCTCCCCTCGGCACACAGCTAGAAACTCATGTCTCCATGCAGAGCCATGGTTATAAATGGTTGGAAAATATCGAGCTTGTAGCAGAATGTCTCCCAAATATTAAAAATTACAGAATAAACAGTTCCAACAAAAACAAGAAGAAACCAAACCTAGTACATACATATAGGCATTCTCCAGCTTGTTCAATGAGCATATGTCGTGTGGAGTGGATCACTTCTGCCAATGATGCTGGTGTAGGTAGACCTGCCTGTCCTGCACTTGAATGTGGTGCAGAATCATGTTCCTGTCCTTCATTACCAGTGACACCAGCAGGTTGAGTATTGTTGTTGTAACTCCTTGCTGTTAATTGCCACATATTAATCAATCATCTCAATAACAAGAAACTTGGAAAGATCAAGACCAGTGAACTTGTTTAGGAATCCAATAGAACACTCACCAATGACATGAAATTCATGCCTCATTCGAGTTAAATACTGAGACAATGTTGCTAAAGAATCAGGAATAACCTACAAAAATAGAAAGAACACAAAATGAAACAAACATCAACAGGAAAGAAGACAACAATACTGTGTTAAGTATAAAGGCATGGAATTTACAGGTGGCTGCAGAGGCCCCAAAGAAACTGCAGATGGAAATCGGAAAGCACCATGCAGTGGATCAGATTGAACCCCTGCAGCAGGCTGGCTAGGTTGAGGTCGCATTGAATCATGTGGAACACTAGCACCAATTGTTCTGTCAATCCTTTCAGAACCAGACTCCTACCAAAGAAAAGATTAAAGGTGAACGCTTCTGATGCAATATTGACTAGAAAGAGCAGTACTAGGATCAAAGGAACCATTGCTTGGACATTTGATGGATTTCCATCCAGTCTATAAGGCCACATCAATTATTTATAAAAACAGAGAGAATAATGACAGGTGGAAGACACTCATTTCAAGAACCTTATAATTGTAATTGGCTTAAGCTTAAACTAAAATGTAAAGGAGTCAAGGTACAGGAGGTATTCTGTGGTGTTTGCCATTGAAAAATTATTACCCTACGATTGCCCCCTTCACTGTTGCTCCCATTAGTTAAAATAGAACCAAGAACAGCTGAAACAATCTGTTCATACAAAATAAATAAATAAATAAGCAGAAGCATCTATAAAGTGGATTGATTCCATTATAATAACTAAAATGCTTTTATCATAAGAAAGCATAGATTTCTTCAGTTGCATTTAGATTTGAAATCTTACCCGGTTGATATCTGGAAGAGTTCCATCTCCTTGATCAGCTATGTTGAAGGTTCCAAGTACTACACTATGAGCTACCTGATTACCTTGGCCGTGGCTGGCATTTGTGGTAGGCTCGCTTGCTGCAAATGGAAATGCTGACAGAGGATAAGTTGCTTATTTCAATTCCTTCAGAAAATTATAAATTCATCATTACCATCTAAGCCCTGTCCCAAACATATGGGGTTGGATACATGAATCCTGTTTTACCATTCCATTCTATTCAGTGCCAAATCCATCATTAAATTATGGGAGTTTAAATCATTTCATACTACTTCCACCCAAGACCTTTCCAACCTGCCCCTAGCTCTTCTTGCCCCTACAACTTGCAACAGATCACTTCTCAGGTGCTGTAGACAGACTTCTATGCATGTGACAAAACCATTTCAGTCTATTTTCTCTCATTTAGTCATTTTAATATTGCATCAGTTTCTTGGAAATAGAGACAGATCAAGTTAAAGCTAAATATTTAGGTATGCTTTACTGATTCAAAAAAATCCACAATCAGATAATAAGAAAAGAACTTTGCCATCAATAGCAAAGTTTTCCAGATTATGATTAGAGATAAATAGTAAAATAAAGGAAACAAATCGATTAGTAGTATCCAGTATGTATCCCTATTAAAAGCTTAAGGCTTCTAGAATTCTATCAGGTAACTCAATTCAAACCTGTTGGTTTTGGTACTTTATCTAGATGATTAAATGCATGGATAGTACCAAACTATTTCAGAGATCATGACAGAGACTATTTATCACTCATCTGCAATTTTGACATGACTAATTTCTTTTAAATGATACATCTTGTACAACTTAAGTACCTAATATGTATGCTTCTGTTTTGACTCAAAACATAGAACGCAAGATCAAACTTAGCAAGATTTTAGCCTATAACAGTGGAGAGGTGCACAACCTTGAGGAATTGGCAAAGGCAGCAAGACACTGGTCCAGATGGTAAAACAAAATATCATCTTGCAGGCTGGTCTCATTTTGTTTTTCAATGGAAATGGGAGCTTGTCAATAGACCACTTACAGGTATGAAATGACCCCTTGTCAGATAGTGGTGGTTATGCTATCATGGACATACAGGAAGGAAAAGAGAAATATTATGAATATCAAGGTTTAAAATGTCGATGCCGATGGAAATTTCAGTCACCCAAATATAGGACCTTTGTTGGATATGTCATATGGAAATATTGTAAAAAGTATATACATTGTAGAAATATGTAGAAATATGCACTAATATTTTGTGAAATGACAAAAGAAGCATTGTTACACCATTCTAGACTATTGTCTTATTCCAAACCATCACACAATGTGTTTCTCTCCACTTACAAGTTTCTCTCTAATAAAATGCTTGTCCACTTCAATGTGTTTCGTCCTATCATGGAGGACTGGATTAGCTGCAATGTTGATAGCAGCCTTATTGTCGCAATAGAGTGACATAGGGTTGCTAACTGTAAAACCCAGT